AAACCCACAGAACCCAGCACAAGGTAACCTTCAATAAACATGAAGCATTGATCACTGCCTCACAGAATTGTCACAAGTGTCACAGGGTGACAGCACATTGTAAGGATAGATGAGAAAGAAAAGACAATTAAAATGGTCAGAACCTCTTAGGCCTGCCCTCCATGTTCATTCCAGTCTTCTCCCTTTCTCGATCTGGAACTGCACACTCGCCAGTTTGAAAACATGGGCTTCCTGAGAAACAGACCACACACTGTCTCCTGATCCTTACACAGAACAGGGCTTGCACAGAGGGAGGGATGAGTCAGTCTGCCTCCCTGTCCCATGGCTGAGATTTCGAAACCCACACTGTATATTTCATCTCTCTATGATATGCTAGTCCCACCCTCTCTCATCCACTCACTCAGGCTCTCCAGTGTTTTTGAAGTGTCCTGTCTGAGCAAGGCATTGTGATTCAAAGTCCATCATAGTGGGAGGCAGATCAGAATCCACCTTCCTTCCTTGGCCTTAAGACTAGTACTACTCTACCTGGTTTCCTTTCCACATCTCCGAAGTAGGGCTTCTGTTTCTGTCTGTAAGTCAAATAATCACCTTCGTTAACCTAGATCAGCAGCTCTCAGGGGCCTGCGGGCTGGAATCAACGTGGGGACCTCAGGTCATGCCCCATGGGACATCAGGATTTTTTTTTAACACCTCTCAGGTCATTTCAATATCCAGCGAACATTGAGAACCACTGGTCTAGGTAGTGGTTGGTGATTTTGAACAACATGGGTGGAGTGGTCAGCGGGACTGTGCTGACTGTGGGCGTGTGACTTGGAGGAGCTGCCCCTCACTTCCCTTCTGCACAAAGCCATTTCTTGCCCAGGCACAGGTCTGTTCTCACAGCAGCCTCTCCTCCCTCCTCCAGAACTGTGCTCCGACCCCACCCCAGAGCTGCATCCTTGGTCTTGAGGCTCAACTGTGCACAGGCATACCCTAGGGAGGAATTCCACAGTGTAATTAAAAACGTGTTTTCAGAGCTGCTTGGACTTCCCCTCCCCTTCCCTTTAAACATGTCTGTAACTTTAATTAAGCCCAGTC